AGCTTCTTCATCATAATCCATAATAAGAAATAATGCTGGACATGGTGGCTCAGAGCTGTAATCCCAGCACTTTGGGAGGCCGAGAGGAGGATCCCTTGAGGCCAAGGTTTCCAGACTACACTGTGCAACACAGCAAAACCCCATGTATACAAAAATAAGAAATAAAAAAGCTAGCTGGGCATGGTGGTGCACGCTTGCAGTCCCAGTTACCTGGGAGGCTGATACAGAAGGATGACGTGAGCCCAGGAGTTCAAGGCTGCAGTAAGCCATGATGGAGCCACAGCACTCCAGCTTGGACAACAGAGCAAGACCCTCTCTTTAAAAGAAAAAGAAATACATTTTACATTAGTATTTATCCACCCCCACATACACACACAAACACAAATACAAACACCTATACAATTTAAACCAAAATTTAAGAATATACACCTTTGTTCCAAGAATACACCCTGATATATTTTATTCTATTCCATGTGTTTTAAAAATGATGGTGGTCCATAAATTGATGTCATTGATTACTAATAGTTGACCCACAGTTTACACCGAGGAAATAGTAATACCCACTGAATTCAGTACCTGCAGTTGGAACATTCTACAGCCTAGAAATATTTCAGGTCTAGCTCTTTTCTCCTCTTTTCCGAATTTTCCCTGTCTCAGGCTCTGTAAGACCTGCCCATCAGGGAGGATGGTGCTTCCACGGCACAGATCTGGGTTTTTAAGCATTTCACTGATGACTCATTGGATGAATCTTTGATTTTTCTGGTAAGCATGAGACCTCTCAAAGCTGCTGACCTCTCATGTCAAGAGGTTGTTTCCTGTCTCAAGGTGTCCCAGGAACATTCGAGGCAAGAAATCATTGCCAAAACTAATGTCATGAAGTTTTCTCCTGTGTCTGCTTTCATGCATTTTAGAATTTCAAATCTTATATTTACATTTTGAATTCATTTTGAGTTGATTTTTGTGTACAGCGTAAGATAAGGGCCCCATTTAATTCTTTTGCATGTGTCTATCCAGTTTCTCAAAACCATTTGCTGAAGAGATCCTCTCACCATTGGGTATTCTTGGCACCCTTGCAGATGATCAGCTGATGATATGTGTATGGATGTGGCACCAAAGGCAGAGGCAACACAAGCAAAAATGGAAACTTGGGACTACGTCATATTGACAGGCTTCTGAATAGCAAAGGAAATAAGCAACAAAGTGAAAAGGTGACCTACAAAATAGGAGAAAATGTTTGCAAAACATATATCTGAAAGGGATTGAATGTCCAAAAATATGAGAAACTCCCACAACTCAATAGCAAAACAAACAACTCAATTTAAAAATAGGCCAAGGGCTGGGCGCGGTGGCTCATGCCTGCAATTTCGGCACTTTGGGAGGCTGAGGCAGGCGGATCACTTCAGTTCAGGAGTTCAAGACCAGCTTGGCCAACATGGTGAAACTCTGTCTCTACTAAAAATAAAAATAAATAAATAAATAAATAAATAAATAAATAAATAAATAAAAGCCAAGCATGGTGGTGTGTGCCTGAAATCCCAGCTATTCAGGAAGCTGAGACACAAGAATCGCCTAAACCCAGGAGGCAAAGGCTGCAGTGAGCCAAGATCGTGCCATTGCACTCCAGACTGGCCACAGAGTGAGACTCTGTCTTTAAAGAAAACAAAAATATAGGCCAAGCATTTGATTGTATGTTTTTCCAAAGAAGACACACAAATGGCTAATAGGTATATGAAAAGATGTTCAACATTACTAATTATCAGGGGAATGCAAATTGAAACCGCAATGAAATATCACCTCACACTTCCTAGGATGACTATTATAAAAATAAAATAAAAGGTAAGGGTGGCAAGGATATGGAGAAATTGGAACTCTTGTATACTGTTGGAAGAAACGTAAAATGGTACAGCCACTATAGAAAAATATGGAGGTTGCTCAAAAAAATTAAAAGAGAAACTATATTCCAGCAACTCTACTTCTGGGTATATGAAAAAAAAAAAAAGAATTGAAATCAAGATCACAAAAAGATATCTGCACACCCATGTTCATTTTAGCATTATTCACAATATCCAATATTTGGGGGAAAAAAACTAAATATCCATAAATGGATGAATGGATCAAGAAAATATGGCATATACACGCAATGGAATATTATTCAGCCTTATGAAAGAAGGAAATTCTGCAGTGTGCAATAACAAATGAATCTGGAGGACAATATGCTGAGTGAAACAACTGCTGTTTACATGAGGTATCTAAAATTAACTCAGGAAGCAGAGTAGAGCAGAGGTTTCCAGGGGCTGCGGAGATGGGGGAGGGGAAACAGGTATCAAGTTTCAGTTATGCAATACAAATGGGTTCTAGAGATCAAAAAGAAAATAAACGTATTAATTGGCTCACACGAAAGAAAAGTTTTGTGTATTGGTTTTAAGTGCTGCTTGATCAAGAGATTCAAATAAAGATTGAAATCTCCCTTTCTCCCTCTTTTCCTCCCTCTCATGAACTCTTGGCTCTGTGTTCCCATGTTCTGGCTTCAATTTCAAAATCTCTCGGAAAATCAAGGCTGAGGTGCTACTGGGATCCCATCCCCTGAGTAGCTTCAGTCCCATCCCCTTCAGATGAGACACCCTCCTCTGCCTGACTGCAATCTTCTTGAGGAACCTGGGGGTTATCAACTGCAGAGACAGAGGGAATGATACTGGGTGGGCAAAGACAGCAGATATCAGCCACCCCCAACCATAACTTCTGCTGGAAATATGTTCCCTGGGGCTAAAAAATTGTATCAGAAAAGCCAGCAAATATACACCCCTGGTCTGAGTCTCAAGTCCTCTCTGTGACAACTGTGCTCCTTCTTAGGGGATATTTCTCCACCTGGCCAAAGAAAATCATTGTCATTAGGCAGCTCCCTTATTAAAAATCAGCAGACGGCAATGGAATCAACTGTTCTTATTAACACTCATATTCTTCTCCGGCTCAGTCCCTGGTAATTTTCTTTGCCAGGAAAGAAGGAAGGCAGGAGGTATTCCCAAATCAAGTCTGCGGTGCCTAACAAGATTAATCTCATGGAACGGTCAGCATTTGTAGCAGAGATGCCCTATTACACCCTTTGGGTTGTCCATGGGCAGACAGCATGATTCCTAAAGTTTCCAAAGCCAGTGCAATTCCCATGCAAGTGTGTGTGTGTGTGTGTGTGTGTGTGTGGTGCATACTTTTTTCTTTGTAACTTCATTTTCTTTGTGACTTTGTCTTCTCTGACCACATCTAAGATTCCTTCATATGAAATAGCTAAAAAGGTGGAAGGTAATGTTTGAATTATTTATTATGGAGTGGGGAAGGGAGCTGGGGGTAGTGGCTGGTATAAGTCCCAGAGTCCAAAGAGCCAAGAACTAGGAGCTCCAACGTCCAAAGGCAGGAGAAGATGATGCTTCAGCTCAAGAACAAAAGGAGAGAGGGAGATTTCACCCGCCATCATTTTGCTCTATTCAAGCCCTCAAGGAATCTTTATTCAGTCTACTGATTCCAATGTCAATCTCTTCCAAAAACACCCCCAGAAATAATGCTCCACCCACCATCTGGGCATTCCTCAGTCCAGTCAAGAAGATAAACATTTTCTCTCTTGTATGTTTAAGTTTCTCAAAATTCATCCACTTTGCAGGCTGTGTTTAGGACTCAAATACCAGTTTACATTCACATCAGACTTTCAACCACTGGTCCAGAGCAGAGCATCTTTCTCCAGGACAGGTTGACCTGCTGCGGTTCCCCTTCTCCCCTGGAGGGACAGCCCGTGAGCCTGAGCCCACTGGTGTCTCTTGCTAGAGGACACAGTGTTATCCCATGTGTCCCTGTGGCAGACTGTAGCTACGGAGACAGAGTTCTGCATCTAGCACCAAACTGAACTTGAAGTCTCTGTTCACAGACGCTCAGCCCCTCCCTCCCTCCCTGTCTGGGTGGGGCTTGTGGAGGATGAGTGAGCTTCCTACAAGGACCGCACTCTTGTTCTTCCCATCAATGCTGGATTCTTGCAGGATCACAGGTCTCTTTGCGTGCATTCTTCCTCCTGTCTGGAATGACATTTTCCTTCTCTTCCCAGCTACTCTTTTCTCATCCTTTGAGTTCAACAGATGTCTCTTTTGGTTGCAAGCGACAGAAGCCCAAACAGAAAAGGTTCAGACCAAAGGGAAATTTATGGGCTCCTGAAACCATATGTCAGAGAGAGATTGGGCCGGGCTGGGGTATGACCCTGGCTCTTTCTCGGTTTCTCCTTGCCCCTTCTGTCTGTCCTGCAGCCTCACACTCAGACAGGATTCTTTCAAGAATTGCAAACTTGGCTGAAGACGCTTCTTGTCCCATTTCTTACCACCCACGTACAGGACGGGGGTGATAGTCCCAATTCTCTGACTCTCACCCAGGAGTTGGGAATTCCTTAAGGTAAGGAGTCATTTCTGATTCAATTTGGGACATACTGTGTCAAGCAGAAAGCGTGGTATTTGTAATTACCGAACACCTGCTGGCTGAGTAAATGGAGAATGTCAAAATGGTAATTTGATCAGAAAAAATTAGTCAAATGTGAAAAAAAAAACTAAAATGTGCTTTTTGTTTCTGTTAGATGGTGACAATGGGTTGATTAAACCCACAGGTTTTCTTAAATTAATGTCAAACTCCCATTTGAGTCGTGTTTTGTCATTTATAAGGAGCTTTCACATAAGCCCATGTAATTCTCACACCACCTGCCTGAGCAGGTGGGTCATTTCGTGTGTTTCTGGGTTTGGTGACGGACTCCCAGAAGCTGGAGCCCACCACACCTGGATGTCTCATGGGGGTGTCTGGTGGAAGTTTCTAACTTCTGGGGTCCTTAATCTCCTCATCTATGATATGCGGGAAAGACCAGCAGTAACAGATTCCATCCCCACCCGCAAGCATGTTGTAAGGATGGACGAGATGCTATAATGAATTGCCACCACCAGCGCCTTAAAACAGTACTGATTTATTCTCTCGCACTTTCATAGGTCGGAATTCCAGGATAGGCTTCACGGGGCTAAAATCAAGGCATCTGAAGGGTGGTGCTTCTCTCTGGAGGCTCCAGGGTAAGATATTTCCTTGCTCATTCGGGTTGCTGGCAGAACTCAGCTTCTTTCACTGTAGAACTGAGGTCCCCCCTTCCCCGCTGGCTGTCGGCTGAGGGCCATGTTTTTTTGACACAGAGTCTTGCACTGTCACCCAGGCTGGAGTGCAGTGGTGCGATCTCGGCTCCCGAGTTCAAGCGATTCAGCCTCCCGAGTACCTAGGACTACAGGCCCCTGCCACCACGCCCGGCTAATTTTTTGTATTTTTTAGAACAGACGGTCTAGATCTCCCAACCTTGTGATCCACCTGCCTTGGCCTCCCAAAATGCTGGGATTATAGGCGTCAGCCACCGCGCCCGGCCAGCTAAGGGCCATTTGCAGCTTCTGGAGGCCATCAACACTCCTCGGCTCATGGCTCCTTCTTCCATATTCAAACCCAGCAATGCCAAGTCAAGTCCCTCTCACCCTCCAAATCGCTCCTTCCTCCTCTGCTGCATCTCTAGGACTCTTCTGATTCACTCTCCTCTTCTGATCCGCTATCCTGGATCACCCAAGATAATCTCTTTATTTTCAGGTCAGTTCAATGCCATGTGACAGACATATCCTCAGGCATAAAGGCAGCTGGGAGAAGATCCCAGGGGCCCAAATCCCACCTACCGCAGGGACTTAGGCTTCCCACATGTGAATCTAAGCACTGTGCTTCTAGAGACTCGGTTTGTCATGGCTGAGAAATACGGCGATTGCAAGAGCAGATTTGGATGCCAAACTTGGCCAGGGTGAATCCCATCTCCAACAGCTCCTAGTTGTGTGATCTGGGGAAAGTCACTTACTGCTGAATACCTCAGTTTCCCCACCTGAAATATGGATACGATAATTATGTTTTTCCTTCATAGACCCTTTATGAAGATGAAATATAACTGTCAGCTATAATCATTATCACCATATTTGCACAAGCATTTGCATTTATTCATTTTACTGGTGTCCTTTCTACCTATTGCTGAAAAACTGTCTCTAGAACAGTTTATAATCATCCCAAGGACAAGGCAGGGGTGATGCTAATGACCTTTTACTTTGAGTAGAAAGTATTTTATCTACATTACCTAAAAGTACACTCCACACACACACACACACACACACAAACAGCCTGTGAAGTGGATACTCCCATTTAACAGATGAGAAAACTGAGGTGAGGAGAGGTAACGGGCTTGTTGCATATCCTTGAATGTCCCAGACCAGCGGGGGTGGGGTTAGTCTGCCCTGATGAGGAAGAGGGACATGGGAACTCTATGAGGCATCAGTACAAGTTGTATTTTTTGTAGATAAAATAATTTCTACTCAAAGTAAAAGGTTGTTATCATCATCCCTGCCTTGTACTTGAGATGATTGTAAACTCTGTTCTAGAGATAGGTATCTAGTAATAGGTAGAAAAGACACCCGTGAAATAAATAAGTGCAGACATCTGTGTAAATAAGGTGATAATAATTACAGCTGACATATATTTTTCATCTTCACAAAAGGCCTGTGAGGGAGATACAAGCCCAGCAGCCACACTGACATACAGAGCTGCAGTTTCATACGGAAATGAGTTTACAGCTCAGGTTGTGGGGAATAAAAGGTTGGGTTGAGAAACTTTGAAAGCACTGGACCAGTGATTTCCAACTCTGGCTGCACCTTAGAATCAAGTGGACAGCTGGAAAAACAGACCAAGGTCCAGTCCCGACCCCAGTGAGATTCCAACTGAAATAATCTGGCACGAGATCGACTGACAATATTTTTTTAAAGCTCCCCAATGAGATTCTAAGACCCTCACATCTCAAAAAAAAGGAAGGAAGGATTTTTTGACTCTCTCTCTCTCTCTTTGAGATAGGGTCTCATTTTGTTGCCCAGGCTGGAGTGCAGTGATGCCATCTCACTGTAACCTCGATCAATCAATCCTCCCACCTACCACGCCTGGCTAATTAATTTCTTGACTCTCTCTTGACTCTGCTGGGTGTTTTTTTCCTTCAGGTTGTTTTTGTTTTGTTGTATTTTTTCTTCCCACCTTTGTCTTTCCTGTTAGGGGTTTTTCTCCAGTGTTCAGGAGCCCTTTGCTGACTGTTCACATTTAAAGGTGAGAAACCGGCCGGGCACAGTGGCTCACACCTTTAATCCCAGCACTTTGGGAGGCGGAGGCGAGCGGATCATGAGGTCAGGAGATCGAGACCATCCTGGATAACATGGTAAAACCCCATCTCTATTAAAAATACAACAACAACAACAACAATAAAATTAGCCAGGCATGGTGGCAGGCACCTGTAGTCCCAGCTACTTGGGAGGCTGAGCCAGGAGAATGGCATGAACCCAGGAGGCAGAGGTTGCAGTGAGCCAAGATTGCGCCACTGTACTCCAGCCTGGGCAACAGAGTGAGACTCCATCTCAACAACAACAACAAAAAAAAGTGAGAAACTGAAAAGCCTCCCTGAAACTCTGGGTCCAATAGCAGGGCCTGATAAGTGGGGGACGTTTCTGGAGGGTGATGTGGCTGGGCTGGCTCATTTCAGGGTCACTGTCAGTATTCACAACTTACTGTTTGTTATTTCCACCCAGGCTCCTCTGTCTCCACAGAGACTCCAGCCTGGAGGGAGGGCGCAGAGGGAGCTGGTGAGCCTGGCTGCCTGCATTCTGCAGCTGACCTCCAGAAGTGACCAGGGCAGCATCCAGGCTGGTAGGGGGATGGTATCCAGAGGTTCTAGAGACTCTTAGGGAATCTGCCACACTCATGCCTCCATTTTCAGTTGGTCATGGTTCCCCCTACACCTGAGATTTTTCGGTTTTCTGCACAATGAACTTAACCCAGCTTTGGGTGCCCCCAGTGCTGGGTTAACCTGTCTTTGATTGGCTAAGTCAGTAACTATTTAATCCATTTTGCAACCCTCAAATTCTATCACTGCCATTGTCTCTCCCTTTGCTTTGTTCTTGTGGGTTTATGTCATCTCCCACTTTTAAAATAAAATGACTTTCCTATATTTTAATGGTATTTCTGAAGAAAGTGAAGTAAAGCAATGGAAATAAGTATGTTTACCTAGAGCCTACATGAACCTTTTATTTGAACACACAGATTAGAGAGATGGCGGGGAAATTATGTTGACAATTCAGTGCTGCCCCTGAAGACACAGGTCTCTCTCCGGGCTACAGTGGAAAACCACTGCCCTCAGGAGGTAGCAGTGAGGTGGGGCTGGGCACCTACTGGCTGGGTGATGTTAAGCAAGTGACTTGGCCTATCTGGATCACAGTTTCTCCATCTGGAAAATGAGGATGGCCACAGTGTTTTCTCTGGCCTGGGGTCACTGTGAGGATTAAATGAGTTAACAAATGGAAACCCCTATAACAATATCAGGCACCTAATAATGCTGTGCTTGCTATTTTAGTGTTATTACTCTTTGGTTTCAGGTAGAGGAAAGGTTCTCATTCGCATAGACTGAAGAGCACTTGCTCAGTTTGTTACCAGCTGCGAAACAGTTTCATCAAGTCAGGAAAGACAAAGCTCAGCTCCATATGATTCTAACTGCTCCTCCTTCTTTTCTCATCCATTTGTTCTTGACCCCCAAGATATGAGTTAGGGAAGCACAATCTCTTTTTTATTTTATGGCCTTGTTTTCCTCGGTTGGTGTCACACCGTTAAACCGAATGCCCAGCCCAGCCTTTAGACATTCAGCGTAGCTGGGACTTTAATATCTCTGCCGATGGATGAGGGCAACAGCAGTCAAGAATGTGGCTTAAAGTGAAATCCCCTTTTCATGAGCCCATGAAGACAAATGACAGGAGTCAACTGCCACCAGTCAAATGGGCCATTAGCATTTTCTTTATTTTAGAAATATTTCAGGTGCTTCTTTAACTGCAGCCCAGTCAGCTCGCTGGGTATTTTGTGTGTGACATCCTTCCGAGTCTTGCTCAGCTGTCTGAAACCAGGCCAGAGAGTGACTACAGAAGAAGTACTGTTGGAGTAAACAGACAGCAACTGGATTGGATTAAATGGTTCATTTGACATTTAAGAGTCCCTCTGATGCCACTCTTCAGGTTGTACTCCTGCTGAAATGTTGTCATGAACTTATTCTGGCCCCTGTCTTTTGCTAAAAGTCAACTTACTTAAGAGTCAAATTTAAATTCGGAAGTATTTCCAGCACAAATTTTTGACTTCTATTGAAAAATCAGAAACTCTGATCCTACTGGCCCCACCTGCCTCCATAGAAGGAATCAGCTGGGGAGCCAGTGCCCTTTCAGTTGGGGCCGTCCACCCACAGTCCTCACCACTCACTGTTCTCTAAATATATTACATGACTGGTCCCTGAAGTCCTCTGGATGTGTGACCCCTTCTCACATCTACTCATCAAAAACATTAATCACTTGCTATGTTACAAGAACTGTACTAAGCCCTGGAAATGCAGAGAGGGACAGAACATCATCCTCTTACTCAAATAACTCAGAGTCAATCACAGGAAACGTGTAGAAAAGAGCCAGATCTAATCAAGTGATATGTGGGTCACAGCTCCAAGCTATGAGAACCTGGAGAAGAGGCTTATTGCAATTGCATTGGTCAGAGGGAAATTCACAGGGCACATGATGCCTGTAATAGGCAGAAATAATCTAAGCAAAGAAGCAAGGACCTTTCATCCAGGCATAAGGAGAAGAGTGAACTAAAAGAACATCGTAGCATCGTGAAACTGCAAGCATTTCCTAACCCTCTAATGACGCCAACCTTGGGAGCACTTAATGGCTCAAGTGTAATTTAAAGTATTTTAATACTTTTCTGTAAACCCCAGGTTATTTAATGCTATCTTGTTCACTTAACTTTCTATTTTACAGCAATGGGCCACCCAGCTGACTACAGTTCCACAGGAACAGGGGCTGTGTTATTCATTTTTCATCCACATACGTGCTGGGCTCATGAGGGGACCCAGCTATGGGCTTTAACTGCTGGTATGGCTGCCTATCTGAGTGTGTGCGCTAAGAGGAGAATTTCAACAAAAATGAAGAAAAAGCAAAGGCTATACCCTTGGTTACACATTCTTCTGACTCCAGACTATGATGCTCTCACTGTCAGAGTGGAGGATTATCTACTCTGGATGCCACAATGAGTACAATGTCAGCGGGGGGAAAAAACACAGGTGTACTTTACTTTTTGTTTAATGAATCTGCTAGGGTTTGCATGTGGCCCCCAAAGTTTATGTGTTGGAAAGTTAATCCCCAATGCAATAGTATTGAGAGGAGCGGTCTTTAATAGGTTACGATCACTCTGCTCTCATGAGTGGATTAATGTCCTAGCTCAGGAGTGGGTTTCTACAAATGTAAGTTTGTCCCTCTCTTGCACCCTCTCACTCTGCCCTCACTTGCCCTCGGCCTTCTGCCATGGGATGATGCAGTAAGAAGGCACTCACCAGATGCCACTGCTATGCTCTTGTACTTCCCAGCCTCCAGAACCATGGGCCAATGAATTTCTATTCTTTATAAATGAGCCATCTCAGGTTTTGTGTTATAGCATCACAAAAAAAAAATGAATAAATGAAAGAGATGTGGAAATCGTTCCTCAAAATGAAAGAAAGTGAGATTTTAAAAGTTGTTTCTCTAATCCAGAAGTTGGCAAACATTTTCTGTAAAGAGTTATATAGTAAATATTTTAGGTCTCTGTTGCACCTACACATAACATCATGCTCAGTGTTTCTGTTATAAGGCTATTAGATTCTCTCATAAGGTGAAAGTAGCCACAGACAATATGCAAATAAATAAAGATGGCTTAGTTCTAATATAACTTTATTTAGAGACACTGAAATTTCCATTTTGTTATTTGCATGCATTACAAAATAATATCTTGTTTCAATTTAAACATTTAATAATATAAAAGTAATTCTTAATCCATAGCTCATACAAAACTAGGTGGTATGTTAGATTTGGACTTCAGAAGGCCATTTCCTGAGCCCTGCTAAGTCAATTTAAGCAGATTCTCAGCTCCTGGAGCTCAGCTGTGGAAAGGTAATCAACTCTTGAGTGTAGACCTTCTGTCTTTCATTAACAGAAACTAATATATATGGGAAAATCAATCTGTTTTAACTTAATCTAACATGGTTATTAAAGGCTCCTCTCCCTTTATTATCTAATGCGAAGTACAGGCAATAAAATTCCACACTGACTCCATTGGGAAGCCAAACAATTAAACAACTAGGCAATTAATGGTATAATTAAAAACTTTTCCATTATATTATTTAGTACCCATCAAGAAAGGTTTGCCTTCCATGATTCAAATGACCTCACTAAATGTCATTACTTCGAACCAAAGGCCTCTACTCACACAGAGGCACAGGTAGGATGGGGCAAGGAGTGTGAAGTCACAGACACCTGGCTCACCCTCACTGGACTAGGGCCCTGATGAGCAGGTGACAGCCCCAAGAAGCCATAAGGCAATGTGAGGCTGTAGTGGATCCTTTCATTTTCATCATCTCAGAAGACTACTCTGAAACTCCCCTGCAAACTGTCCCTAAAAAACAGCTCACAGACTATGTGCCGCCATGACCCCTGATCACTGTTACTTCTGAATACTCCTCCTTCCTCATCATAACAGTATCACCCTGAGAATAGGGACATGCCTGTTACCAGACCAACCAGGTGTGATGTTTCACGTGTGGTCTCAGCCCAGCCTCTCTGCTCTGTTTACCTAACTCCATCTGGGCTGGGCCCTGCTTCTCACTCCTGTGGTCAGATGATCACTTTCCTATCTGTGTAAGATTAACCCAGCAGCCTTTGTGTAGAGTGGCTTAAAAAAGATGTCATTCACCATCTATTTCTTCACTTCCATCCAGTCTCCTAAACTTCTTCCTTCCAGCTTACCCTGTCTTCTTAACTTACACTCTGTCGAAAGATCTCTTCATCAATGCCCACCCAGCCCTCAACTCCAGACCCTGGAATTATCTCACCATGACCTGCCTCTACCTTTTCCACTCAGAGAAAGCCACGTTCTCTGTCAGTCTCTCATTGAGGTGTACAAAGCTGATCAAACTACCTAAGTCGAGGTATAAATGACTGATACGTGTCTGTATTCCCAAGAGATATTTGTTCTTTTCAGCAAAGTCACCTGAGTGACCAAATGTGAAGATATTCCAAGAAAGCGTTGGAAAGGAGACTGCAGGGTAGGGTGTTTCCGGGGCCCTTGATTGAGGAGGAGGCCTGTGTTGCACCATCTGATGCTCCCATTTAGACATTAATTCATTGAACCAAAGGTCCAACCAAGCACCAAGTATATGAGCTCAAACAGTGGACACTGCAGAAAAAGCAGCACTGTGATCTTAGAATGCTGGCCTTGGTCCAACAGATACAAAACTTAGAGTAAAACACGTTCCCACTGCGAGCCCCAGATTCCTCAGACATTAAATAGGGATAATAACACCTCCTGCCCAGTCAGGGAGGACTTCAGGCACAAGGATTGTCCTGGAAGGAGACACATGCACCCCTCCACTGATTTGCTTTCAATGTTTGCTCAAAGTTAATTCAAAGACTAATTTGGAAAGGCTAAGAAGGCCAAGGAGTGGAACATCCATTTCTCCATCAATGCTCTGAGCAATTCTGCGCTGGCTCCTAAGAACACATCCTACCCAGAAAAAGCAAAATCTGTCAAGTTTACTGGACCCTTCCTAGTTAGGGGAGAATTTTGTATTTCTAATTAGAATCAGGTTTTCATTCTATCAGGTCCCATAGTACATTTATCAAACTAAGAAGGTAAACTTGGGCATGTTACTGTTCAATAAACCCCACACTTCATTTGTATTTCACCAGCAATTTTTTTTTTGAGACGGAGTCTCACCCTGTCATCCAGGCTGGAGTGCAATGGCGTGGTCTTGGCTCACTGCAACCTCCACCTCCGGGTTCAAGCGATTGTCCCACCTCAGCCTCCCAAGTAGTTAGGACTACAGGTGTGTGCCACCACATCCAGGTGATTTTTGTATGTATTTCACCAGCTTTTTTACTGCTGATCTTATTTCAGGATCCAAACCCGAATATCACATTGAATTTACTCATCATGCCTCCTTCGTCTCTGCCTGCTCATGGCAGCTTCTCAGACTTGCTTCGTTGACCATTTCCTTAACAGAGGTTTGAGGAGTTTTGGCCAGTATTACTAATATTTTATAGAATATTCTCAGTTTGGGTTTGTCTGATTTTTTTTCTCATGATTAGACTGAGGTTATCTGCTTTTGGAGGAAGATCATAGACATAAAGTGCCTTTCTCACCACATCCTATGAAGGCCACGCATTGTCAACACGACTTGTCATTGTTGATGTTAATCTTGATCACCTGCTCAGGGTCGTGTTCACCATATTTCTTCATTCTAATTTTATTCTCTTTACGCTTTTCCAGCTCTATCTTTTGAAAGCAAATCACTAAATCCAACCCTCGTTCAGGGGAGGGATGGTGAGAATTAAACTCCACCTCCCAGAGAAAGGAGAGAGAGTAGCTACATAAAGTTTTTGTAATTCTTGCTTAAAGGAGATGTGTCTGTTCTTCCCATTTATCTTTTCGGTCATTTATTTGTATCAGTGGGTACTAATGGATCCTTTTACTTTTTGTTTGGTTCCTCCAATTGTTTCCACTTTAGTCCTCAAGAGCTTTTTCGGGTTGTCCCCTGTGTCTTTGACATGCCCCGTCCTTTTGTTCTTTTGAGCCCTCTTTTATGTTTGGCCCTATGGCTCTTCTTGTATCTTCCAATCATATTTAAGTGGATTTTTGACATTGGAACCTTTGTCATACTGGTGCTAAAACACTTCTTTAAACATCGATATTGAAAATTTATTGAGTTTGAAATTTTATAGATTTTGTTTTTCTATCAATACAATGAGATGAAACCTGATTATGGAAGAAAAGAATAAGCCAGAGTGATATTGTCCCTCTCCTGCCCAAAGCTTCTGCAAAGCCGACTCTTCATTCATTGGGCCTCCTTCCCCACCTGGTTGATTCTGACTCAGCCTCCAAATCCATCGCACCAGGCACGGGGGCTGCTGTCTCGGGGATGCCTGGGTCCAGGTCCCCCCAGTGCCCACTCTCTCTGGATCAAACCCGCTCATGACGGCTTCGCCTTGGGTGCAGGTGAAGCCCATTGTCATGGACAGCTGCCTCCTAGTACTAAAGCAGCACCCTGGGAGCATGGATGTGTCCATGTTCCTCATCTCTTGTGTTTCTGGCTCCTTACACAATGCTTGGTACACAATAGGTGCTCAGTAATTGCCTTTGAATGAATCACTTTCCTGTGATCCTCACAACTCTCCATGATGGTGTTGACATCGCTAACTGATGGACAGGACATTAATGAACCTAGTGACGCAGTGACCAAGACAGCCTCAGCGTCCCCTCTGCTTGGCTAAACCGCAGTTAGGTTCCCCAGCCCACAGTCCTCTGGCCTCCCTCTCACCTGACCTAACAGAACTCAACCACAGAGGTCCCGGCCCTCCCTCAGAGCATTCACTCAGCATTTTACGTTACTTTTCTGCTCCTTTGAAACGTGTATCTTTTTTTTAACATTTATTTTCAGTTTTACAAATTGGGACCTGGGACCTGGGAGCCATTCCTTTGAAACGTAGTCAGCAAGGAAGAAAGAGCCCATCTCCCCATCTCTGTGGGAGGGCAGGGGACTAACCTGGATGAGGGCCTTGCTCTAAGCTGTAGTGTTCCTGCCTGTCATGAAGACATGAGAAAATTTGCTTTTCCTGTGGGTAAGGCATTTAGCAGAAACAGATAGCCTAAGATTCCTCCAATCCCTGCTTTTAAAAACCCTCCTGCCCTTTGCTTCCCGGAGTCGGGCTCAGACTGAGTTCTGACCTCTCTGTCCTGTTGTAACAGCCATGAATAAAGTCATCCTTACCTGTTTAACTTTGCATGGTTAAATTCTGCTTTGTTCCTGGTCATGCTTCCATTCACGGGAACTGTGGGTTTCAGTTCTATCCAGGCCCACCCACGTGATATTCTGCTTATTGATCAGTGGGTTCCAAATGTTCAAAAAGCAGTATCAGT